AAAAGACTTCTTCTAAAACTCTTCTATACCACTCTATAGCACACCACCCCTCCAAAAAGAAGTTTATTGATTATTTCCAGAAAGGAGGGAGTTGTCCATGAACTTTGGCAGTATTGCCATAAACTTACACCTCCTTTTCTCAATCAAATGTAATGACCTATACAAAGTCACCTGCAACTGTCCTCACCCCCAATTACTACACCTTACCCTGCCAGGTATATGACTAGGTCTTAAAGATGAGCCTGCGCTAACCTAGGAAGGCCAGGCTCTGCTCCTGCTGCCCCTAGAACATGAGTAGGGAAATGATGGCAAGGTCAAATAACAGCAGTCCTGCTGGAAATTCCCGGAGATTTAATTACCACCTCTAAGCTGACCTATCCTTCCTCCCCTCCTACCCCTGTTACTTCAGAAGGCGACACCATCTGTCCAGTCCTTTGGGCTCACGAGCTAGGGGTCATCCTCAACTCTTCACTGTCTCTCACCCCCCATCATCCAATCGACTGCCAAGGATTGTCGATTTCACTTTTGTAACAGCTCTTCAATACCTCCTCCCCTTCCTCTGACACCACCACCACCACTCTGGGACAGGCCTTGTCACCTCATGCCTAGACTACTGTAATAACCTGCTAATGGTCTGGCTGTTTCCAGTCTCTCCCACTCTAATCCATCCTCCATTGGGCCACTAGAGGGATTTTTTTTTCTAATTCACAGGTCCAACCATGTTATCCCCACCACACCCAATAAACTTCAATGGCTGGCTCCCTAGCACCTCCAGGATCAAATACAAAATGCTTTGCTTGACATTCAAAGTCCTTCATGACCTAGCCCCCTGCTACCTTTCCATTGTTCTCACACCTTACATCCCTACAGGTTCTCTTTGATTTAGTGAAACTGGCCTCCTTGCTGTTCCATTAACACGACACTCCAGCATTGGGGATTTTCTCTCTTTCCTTCTTCATCTCCTCCTACTTTCTTCCCTGGCTTCCTTTAAGTCCCAATTAAAATCTCATCTTCTATAAAAAGGCTTTCCCAGCCCCTTTTAATTCTTTTGCCTTCCCTCTCTTAATTATTTCCTATTTATGCTATTTATGGCGTGTGTGTATAAATGTTTGCTTATTTTCTCCCCCGTTAGATTTCAAGCACCTTGAGGGCAGGGGCTCTTTTTGTATCCTTACCCCTTAGCAGTCCCTGACCCACAGCAGGCACTTAATAAATGTTTATTAACCAGTCAACAGTTTTAGAACTAACAGTTACCTGAATAAGGCCACTCCTTCATCACAAACCAAGCAATAATTTCCCTACAGTTCATAAGTCTGCATGGTAATTCCAGGAGACCCTTAGAGATGGTGGGTAGAGGGAAGGAAAGCCAATTCTCCATTGTTCTAGTGTTATCTGTCGGGGTCTCATGGCCACTAACTTTCCCATAACACAGGCATGCCAGAAAAACGAGGGGAAGGCTCAGAAGGTACTGACCAGGATGTAGCTATGGCCAACTCCACAATGATACGGCGTGATCCTTGTGTAACCCTTGAGCGTAGTCTATGTCTTAAGCTTTTTTTCCCTTTCAACGTGCCGTCTTTCCACCATGAGATTATAAGTTCCTTGATAACAGGGATTGTCTTTCTTTTTTCGAATTTGTACGGCCAGTGATTATAGCATGGGGCCTGGCAGATGGTAGGCGCTTAACAAATGTTTATTGACTATGAACTAAGGGATTCAAAAGCACGTCTTAACACATAAGACCTTTCCCAGAGAAGTACACAGCGCACAGGAACATGGAGAGCCATGAAGAGAGTCATAAAGTTGAGCAGACTCCTCAGATCTGTGTTGTTCTGCCACAAAGAAGCCTCATCTGACACCAGTCTAAACAGAGGCCTAGCTCAGAGGCCTAGCCTCCTTTTACTTTTACTTTTTTCCTACAGGCGGCCTCAGCGTAAAGGAAGACAGGTGCCACCCAGGGCTATTGGAAACAGTCTCTGCCTTCTTGTACCATCCATCATGTGCCATAAATTCCTGATTATGGCAACACTTTTAGACTACAATTGAGTTATTTGAAGCTTCAGTACTCAGACCCAGCACAATAAGACTTTACTTTAAAAGGTGGGAGGCAGGTAGGTGGCTCAGTGGATAGAGCACCAGCCCTGAAGTCAGGAGGACCTGAGTTCAAATCTGGCCTTGGACCAAATACTTGACACTTACTAGCTGTGTGACCCTGGGCAAGTCACTTACCCCAATTGCCAAGAAAACAAACAAACAAAAAAAAGGTGGGAGGCAAACTAGAGAGCCCACAAGCAGGCGTGGGGAACCTTCGGCCTTGAGGCCACATGTGGTCCTCTAGGTCTTCGAGTGTGGCCCTTTAAGAGCCATACTTGAGGACTTAGAGGGCCACATGTGGCCTTGAGGCCAAAGTTTCCCCATCCCTGGCCCAGAGTATAAAAAAATATAGAAATCTGCCCATATCCAGTAAATTCTGGATTGTGAAAATAATACATAATTACATACTACATTTTTTAACTTCTTAAATCACTTGTGTTTGGTTTATGAAATCCCATTGCCTATGTACATGAGGTCTGAAATGTGAACCATCTTAATTACAAAAGATCAAATAGGCCTTGGAAAGTTAACCAATAGATGAAAAACGTGACTTTGCTTCAAACACTCGACTAATTCAGAAATGGCCCAGCAGATTGTATTTCCAGAAATATTCAGTTCTGAGTGGAAACAAGGGTGAGAAAATTCAATCGACTGGGAGCTTTGGGAGATGGTCCTATAACCCCCAGAAAATTGGGTGAAGAAAATAAGGTGTCTTTTATATCACTGAGATATAATTGTGCAAACATGAATATTGTGTCACAATATTTTGTACAAAATTAAACAAGGCAAGTCATGGCACATAACAGAGGGCAGAACTCCAAGTTTCAGACCCAATCTGCACATTAATTAAAACGGCTGTCTTCTGCTTTAATAAATAAAATCTTTAAATTATTCTCCTCTCTGAAAATGAAAAACAAAAACAACCCTCTGGGCTTAACAGTCTTGTCCTCCTCGTTTTAAAATTACTCTATACATCAGGTCCAAATATTATTGGAAAAGGAGCTATCATGCTAATAAAATAATATCCCAAAAGAAACAGAGAAATCATGACAAAGTAGGTATAACCACCCACTGCTCATATGTTTACTACCCACATATGGGTGGAAGATTAAATTACTTCTCTCTATTTGGGCCCTTCCCCAAATAGTGTGAATGCTTGAGAAATCAATCTTTAAAACAAACTTCACAAGCGGCAACAATAATAATGATTACCAACATGATGTAACATTTGAAAGTTTGCAAAATGCTTCATGTATATTATTTAATGCAAGCCTTGCAACAATCCTGGGAGGGAGGCATGATAGGTATTGCTAACTCCATCATTTCAGATGAGGAAACTCAGGGTCAGAGAAATAAGGTGACTTGCTCATGGCCACAGAAAGAATGCCTGGGGTGAAAATTAAGCCTAGGTCTTCATGATGGTAGAGGAAAAGGCCTGGATTTGAAGTCAGAGGAGCTGGGTTCAAATCCGTCATTACCATCATAGCTAACATTTATGTAGTGCTTACTTTGTGCCAGGTACTGTGCTAAGCACTTTACAAATATTATCTCATTTCATCCTCACAACAACCCTGGGAGATGCTTTCACTATCCCCATTTTACAGAGGAGGAAACTGAGGCAAACAATGATTAAGTAATTTGCCCAAGGTCACTTAGGCTGGATTTGAATTCAGGCATTCCTGACTCCAGGCCCAGACCTCTATCAACCACACCATCTAAATTACTGACTGTGTGATACTGAGCAAGTTATTGAATTTCTCTGGGCCCAAATATCCTCATCTGTAAGATGAAGTTATTAAGACTAGCTGGTCTTTAAGGCTCTTTCTAGCTCTTAACCCTACCCTACCACTAGGCAATAATCTCTTTTTAGCTCGAAATCTGTGACCTACTGTTCCATACTTCCTCTTGCCATGGGACCCAGATGGCTCTGGAGGAGAGGGTGAGGCTGGTGGCTTTGCACAGCCCTCTCTCACTTAAATCCAATTCATTTGCAAGTCATGGCATCATTTTTCTGATGTCATGGTCCTCTTCAACAGTGAAGGACAAACAACTTTCTCTTAGAAGTTCACTGCTAACAATCAGCTTTTCTTGCTCACATCCTTATTCCTCCTCACTACCATCCCTGCTCCCTCTACAGAATGCTGGGAGATGTTCCATTAATCTTTTCACATACTCTAGGAGTGACGGGAGAGAAACCAGGGAAGATTTCTTGCTAGGCTTTATCAATGATGTTTGGCTGAGCTATTTACAAGGATGGAGAGAGAAGCCAGGTTTATGAGTCAAAGATGGCCCCATTGGCACAACAGATAACAACATGTCTGTCGTCCATTAGTTTCTCAGAATTCCTGTGTCCCCTATGAGCAGCCAAAGATACTGCAGGGCAATTAGGTTTAAACCAAACACTGACAATTAAATTATAGTGGAGATTTTTATGTAGATGAGACAGAGCAACTCCTTAGTTCTCCATGATGTCAGACTCTAAACTGTGGTCCTTTATGTTGACCTGAGGCTTGCCATGAGGACCCTGCATCGAGCCCTACCCTTGTGGTTTTCCCTTACAAAAGCAGCATCAGTCATCCTTCCCTTAAAGATATAGACACAATGAAAGGCCCAGGTCACAAAAGTGCATACTGAGGTTCAGAATCAAAATAAATTCCCACAAGGACCAGTCTCTGTGGACAACTTAAGGGTTCCGTAATTTAGTTAGATGATAAAGGCATATCAGTAAAAATCAAAGTACTGTTGAGCCCTCACCTGACTAGTAAGCCAAGACCCTAGATAAGACATAATACAGTTCAGCTCCTGAAACGTTAGACTTCACTAGGGCTATCATCTCTAAGTATAACATTACCAATGAAAAATGCAGAAGCTTTGACTTCTGGTCCCATCCAACAGGTTCTTCTTACCTTTGGTTCCATTGAAATGAAGCTGTGGGTACCTCGGCTTGAGAGAACAGACCTTTTAATTGTCCTACTATGGTAAAAGTGATAGTAATCTTTCAGTGCGCCAATCTATAAATGGGGAGAAGAGAGAAAGAAAGAACAAGAGAAAATGAAAGAATTTTAATTTTTGAAAAATTTTTTTGCCCTCTACTTAAAAAAAGTTTTATAAATTATACAATTCCCTGCTATGCTGATGTGTTACTTGAACCCTAGTGATCACCTTTCAAAAGAAGGACATCCGATATGAAATGGATGGAGTGTGTGTCCTTGAGGTAGGAACTGTGCACAACCCAAGATTATAATGGAGCAGCTTAGCCTGCCTGTATCTCCCTTTTTTAATGTTTAATTTATATGCAGCATTTTAAATAATTCTATATCAATCTAAATGCACGCTGTCTTCATGTAGGAAGTCTAAAAATCATCAAATAGCTATATGGTTATTAAAAAACATTCCATCTCCCTTGCTTACAGAATGGACTGTAAAACCTATTGTAAGATTATTTCTATCATTAACTTCACCAAAAAGAAGTCCTAGGCAACAGACCATTCACAAAGAAAATGTCACTCTGAATTTGTTTCCTACCTTCAGACGACAGAATCTGTTATTATAGTGTTTATTCATTTGATGAGTTCTAAAAGGATGAGGGGTAGGTGGAGGGGGGGAGGGAATGGAAATAAGAACTACTCATCCAACTTGACTGTTAATCTGGTTCTATAACATTACTTGTGCCTCTTAATCTAATGCTACCCTTACCTATCTCAGCCACCTTGTTTTCATGCTCTTGACAAAGTTAGAATCATAAAGACTATTTCCTATAGACATGTAAATAAGCAACAGTATACCTTTAGAAACAATCAGAACAAAAAAATAGCCCAACTTCCAATTTTAAATAATAAACTGAAGACACCTAGCTTGTACATTAGAAAGGAGACTGGATACGGAGTCAGGGAACTTGGGATTCTATTCCTGATTCTGTTTCTGACTTGTCTCAGTTGTCAAGGGTTACTGAGAAGTTAAGGGAGTCATCCAGAGTCATGCAGGTAAATGAAATCATGTATGTAATGCACTTTTCAAGCCTTAAACAATTATACAAGGTTAGATAGGTGGTAAAGTGGATGGAGCGCCAGCCCTAAAGTCAAGAGGACCTGAGTTCAAATCCAGCCTCAGACACTTGATACATACTAGCTGTGTGACCCTGTGCAAGTCACTTAACCCCAACTGCCTCAAAAAACCCAAACCCAACAACAATTATACAAATGTTAGCTATTATTATCTCCAAAAGAGAGTATATTTCTTTGATTGTATCTCCCTCTTTTTTATTTATATTCTCAACCACAATGATTATGTGCCCATGCATATGTACTCACACACACACACACACACACACACACAGAGGATATAAGAGTGGAGATTTTGAAAGTCTACCTAATTAATGACCTACCCAGAAACAAGAATAGTCATTGATGCCACTTTAAGATTTTTTTTATTTTAAAAATCATTTAGTGGTTGACAGAGAAGTAGGAAGAAGAGCAAATGGAACTCCCCTTTTTTAAAAGGAGAAACTCCTCTTGACTTTGGACAGAAAAGCTGCTTGAGTTTTGAAAAAAGAAGTTTGAATGAAATATCCAAAAAAAGAAGGAGTAATAACAATTTAAACCTCTAATGTCAATGATCTTGGGCACTGAAACAATAGCAACCCACAGGTACAGCCACCCAAATATCCCACAGTATATTTCAAGGAGGGATTTACCAGCCAGTGCTGAGATGCCAAAGGGCTGAGCAGCCTTTGAGAACATCCCCATAATCCTTTAAATAACCTTCAAAACCACAAGTAGACTAAGATTTCTGTCTATATAGCTTTTGTGGAGAGCTCATGATTGTTTTCTAAGGATTTTTGTGTAAGCTGGGCAAAGTAAATATAGGAGAAGCTGGGAACACGGAAAAGGGGAGAGAAGGATAAGAGTGAACCTGGAATGAGGAGAGAGAAGACATCTGTTATTCCATGTGATAGATTAAAAGCTGGAGTTCCCTTTGAGAGTGGGGAGCTTTTTATGAAAGTTTCTTACACAAAGAAGACTTATCTAAAGTCTATACTTTGACTTATCTGCAGATACATTTAAGGTCCAATCCGTACTCTCACAAATAATACTTTTTCAATGAACAAATAAATAAGCATTTATTAGTTATCTACTATGTACAGGCACTATGCTAAGGATGCTACAAATACAAAGACAAAAATGAAACAGTCCCTGCCCTCAAGGAAATTATATTCTATCAGGGGAAACAACATGTACATGTGAATGTGCATGTGTATATATAATATGCTTGTATATAGGTATATACATAGTTAATAGAGAGCTCACCTTGAAGATGCGAAGACCTGAATTCAAATCCCCTCATTTTAGAGGAGAAGAAACTGAGGCACAGAGCTAGAATGACTTGCCCAAAGTCATAGAGATGAGTTGGATTTGAATCCTTCCTGATTTCACTATGTTTGCCTCTTAATCTTGGTCTAAAGACAACCTTGGCAGTGATGAGAAGTATGATTTGAAGGGAAGAGAAAAAAGATGCAGAAAGACATCTTGGGAGGTAGCTCAGGTAAGGAGGACCTATATGACGATGATGGTAGCAATTGGAATCAAGAAGATCAATTATTGACATGTCATTGTAACTGGATATGAAGACAGAGGTGAAGAAGAAGAAGGCAGAGTCCAATATGATACCAAAACTTCCCAACATGGCACATGCTGGTCCCATTGACAGAAAGAGGGAAGAGCCAGGAGGAAGAACAGATTTCAGGCGAAGATAGTGTTTGGTTTAGGACGCACTGAGTTTGAGAGGCGGTGTGTTGCAGGGGAAAGAGTCAGCAGACTTCAATGCCTATTCCCCGTCTGACCTTAGGCTAATTACTTGATCCCCCTAGGTCTCAATTTCCCCATTTACAAAATAAGGAGATTGAATTGGATGGTCTCTGAATTCTTTTTTGCCTCTAGATCTATGATCCTACGAGCCTACCAAGTATTTCAGGTAGAAATATGTAAGAAATATTGCTCTGGGCTTGGAAGAGAGATCAGGTCAATGGCCTACAGATTTGGAAGATATGTCTAATGGGGACAGATAAAGCCATGGGAATAGATGTGAATGCCAAGAATAAGTTCAGAGGGAGAAAAGGGCCAAGGACAGAACTTTGGGAGGCACAGAGCCTTGAAACTGCCAGATTAAAGAGTTTTTTTTTTAAAGAATGAGGAAGAAGCAAAGGAAACAGTTGTTCTTGTTCAGTCGTGTCCAACTTGTTGTGACCCCATTTGGGGTTTTCTTGGCAGAGATACTGGAGTGGTTTGACATTTCCTACTCCAGCTCATTTTACAGATGAGGAAACAGAGGCAAACAGGCTTAAATGACTTGCCGAGGGTTGCACAGCTAGCAACTGTCTGAGGCTGGATTTGAACTCATGAAGGTGAATTTTCCTGACTTCAGGACTGGAGCTCTGTGTACTACATCACCTAGCTATACCTAGGAAACTGAGGAGATGTTAAAAAGAGAGAGGAAAAGAAACAGGAGATCATGGTGTCCCTGAAGCCAGTAGGGAAGAAAACATCTTAGATGGAGATCGTAGAATCATAGGAATAGGTCAGAAAGAATCTTAGAAGGCCAATTTGTCCAACCCCTTCATTTTATAAATGAGGAAACAGAGGCCCAGAGAGATTAAGTGATTTGCCCAAGGTTACAAGGCTAGTAAATAGCAGACACAGGATTTGAATCCAAGTCTTCTGCAGACCTGGAACATATGAAACTGACCAAATTGTTTATTCCTGACCTTTCATTCCCCTCCTGGCTCAGTTTCTAGCTCATCACCACCATGCCTCAGTTGCCTTCTCACCTTGGAACATCCCTCCACCATGCTGGCTCCTTATCCCATTGGTGACCTTGTCCTGGGCCTCATTTTTGGGAAGGACCCAGACTAGCCATCCTTCACTCCCCTCCTAGTTCTGTGTCTGACTCTTTAGACTTCTATGCCATACCCCCGTCCAGATCCTTTCCTCATCATGTTTAGCTCCTTCTAATCTGTTGTCTTCCTCTATTGGAATATAAGCTCCTTGAGGGCAGGAAATGTGTTTCTTTTTGCTTATATTTGTATCTCTAGCACTGAATACAGTGCCTGGCACATAGAAGGTGCTTCATAAATGCTTGTTGCCTTGCTTTGCCTTGATATCGTCACGTTATCATGTAGAGATAGTCTAGGCATTGAGGTCCTCAAACACCCAATCATTTTTCAGTTGGGACTGGGATTCTGAGTTTGGTAGGCTGCTGACTCTGCTTATTGGCTAGCAGATGTCATTGATATTGGATAGCAGATCTATTGATATTGGATGGCAAATCTCCTTTTATAAGGCTGGACAAGGAGCAGTGCCCAATAGTGCAACTGCTCAGCCCAGATAAAAGAGACAATCATTCCTATTCCAAGAGTATCTTTTTTTCAAGCAAGTTGATTTCTCTTGCCTCTTTAATATGTGCATTCCTTAAGTACAAAAGTTGTACCTTTTAATATGCATTCTACTGCCCCAGCATTCCTTGGTCATTTAATAAAAACTAAGAAGAAAAATGCTGTGTAACATATGTAAAGAGTCATTCCAAAGAAAGGCACTATATGAAAACACAGCTCAATAACATTATTTGTGGTCCTGCTTTCTATCTGCTTCCTCTGCAGTCAGGCAAAACAAATGATACCTCTATTTCTATGCTGTACAACAGGATCCAGGACTAAAACAAGCAACAATATATAACCAACACAGAAACATTTTCTAAATAAAACAAGAACTCTATGAGTAGATGAAGCACAAAAAATCAATAGAAGATAGATCAAAACACAACCATTTCCTCAACTTTACATAAATAAAGAGAATGATTCCCTCCATGCTGTGCGCTCAAACTTTTCTTCACAAACACACATACACATAAATACAGTATGCGCTCCTTATATCTACAGTATGGAAGGGCTGCCCTCTGAAAAATTACCAAGAAAGGTAAGTTGGTCTTCAGATATTTCTTTTCCCTTTTTTCTCCCTTA